CTGAGCAGTTTTTCTTCTGCAACGTGCTGCCAGGTATGCTGCCTGCCGGTGTGCCCAACCAGAAAGGCAGCCACACCTGAGCAAATAGGAGTGCTTTGGTGCCACACAGGGTGCACTGCCTCTGCCATGAAGGTGTATGCTGCCTGTATTGCGTTTAGAGAAGAGGTGAAATGGATTTTGCTGACTCATTTGGGCAGGTAAAAGCAGTCTTTTGGGCATGGATTGAACAAATTAGAAGGAGGAATTTCAGCAGCCAGCCTCTCCTGAGGAGGCAGCTTGAGCTAATCTGCTATGTTCTGGCAGTGTTTTCTCAACAGAGTTGAACCCAAGTAGTCCATGTAAGGAATTTGTGTTTGGAGATCACATACTATATTGGTGGTGTTTGTTGAGCAATGGGTGAAGGAAGCCCCTCATTTACATAAGCTCACTAAAATTAAAGGTCTGTCAGTCAGAAGAGTTCATTTTTATATTGGAGAAAATCTAAGCCCATTTTGAGAGATCAACATCCATCCTGGAATGTACTACCTCTTTTTTGACTTCACTGGGAATGACGTGCTTTTGCAGGATTTGGCCTTGCATGTAGGTTAGTAACAGCATCACTGTTGTCTGTAACGTTCCTGTTGGCCCAAAGCAATATTCTGTGAGCGGCAGATAGAGGCTGAGATGGAATTTTTGTTGTATTTGATTTTTACTAAGCTGGAACTCTGATGGAGTGGCTCAGGGAAGAAATTTTTAGAAGATCCACAAGTCTTAGGACTTCCAGAGTGGAAGGACATAACCATATATGAGACTAAGGACAAGCATCAACTTAGCAAACAGTTCCTCAGGTTGAAAACAGGGCCCCTTGTCTTCTCTTCTACACTGCTGATGGTTGGCTTCACTTACAGCTTTGCCAGCTGAAGAGTGCATGTGTGCACTGTGTGATCAACACTGAGAAAGTAGATGAGCTTAATTTATCTTCAGTAGTTGTTCAGTTTAACTTGAATTCAGCTTTCTGTGAATTATGTAGTGCTCACATGGACACCTCTGCTACCAGCACCGTGGGGAGTTGTAATCTCCAGCAGGTGGGATGGTGAAAGCAGTTTTCATTGAAAATGCCTTCAAAAGGTCAGTGTTAATTTTCAGCCTTAGAGGCAGTATAGACCAGTGAAAGGAGCATTTTTCTAGGAAAGCTGGAGTCATAGTTTGTTCCTGGCACTGATCCTGGTGTTAGATGATCACGACAAATCACTCCTCATCCATGCATCTGTTTCCCCTTCGTGTCTCTTGTCCATTTAAATTCCTTGAAAAAGAGGCTGCCTGTTCTTATGTGGACAATGGCAAAATATAATATTTTTATCCTGCTAGTCTTACAGAGCTGCTTGAATTTGCTGGTTTTTTTTAAATGGCCTTTAGATCTGAGTATTGTTTGTTGACTTTAGTTTCCAAGCCTTTGCTTTTCCATTGGAAAGCTGGCCCCACACTGATGTGTTTGATTATGTTTTCATTGCCATTGTACTTGCTTTGATTTTGCAGCTCCGTGCCCAAAGCACAGGGCGCTGTACAAACAACATGATGAAGTCAAGCAGGGTCAGCCCCTTTCTCTTTTTACCTTGAAAACAATGTGAAACTCCTATGTTTCTTTTACTTGGCACCTCCAGTTCTTGAGCTCGAGGCTCTGTGTGTGTGTGTGCTGCCCTCCTGTTGTGTTCAGGTGTGAGATCACTTGGACAGTGTTTTCCCTCACTGCCGAAGGGGGTACTGGAAGCTGTGCTGTCTGCTTGGTTGTGTGTGAGCTCAGGCTGGGAAGTATGGAAAATTACTGCAAGAATAGCAGCGTGCTGAGCTGGTGTTCATGTCAACAGTGGGGTAGTTGTGTCTAGGTGTCATTGCTGGGGCTCACAAGTGTGCTCACAGATAGATGTGCCCTGCTGGATCGTGCCTGGCCACTGTCTGTGACGAAGGTTTCTCCTTGTTCTCACCCTCTCCGTTTCATTTTTGGCAGTGTTCCTTTCTCCATAGGTATGTGGCTTGACTGTGGCCTGCGTCCAACCCTTTTAAGAAGTGCCAGATTTCTGGTTATTGATCCAAAAAAGGGAGAAGGAGCTATAGAGCTTGATTTTGCACTACCATAGTATTGTCAGCCAGTGTATCAGTCCTTAGCATGAATAAAGCAGCCTCCAGAAACACATGTAAAATTGTGGACCTTCTACTTTTGTACTTTAAGCTCCTCCCCATCTTGTTCCTGCTATTTTTTTCCCATGTCACTGAAAAGCCTCTTCTGGCAGCTTTGGGTACCAGGACATTCTGATGCTGTAGCTCAATGCATCAGAACTACACAAGCTACTCTAAGCCACAGTGATTTATTTGTCTCTAAACTCTAGGAGTGTGTAGAATTAGGGAAATCCCTAATTATAAAAATCAAAGGAAAAAAAAAAAAAAGGAAAATCCTGAAAATCCTGCAGGGAAACCTCTTTATTAGCAGTGTGGTAAGGTTTTGGTTTGGTTTTGTGGTGGTTTATTGTTGCTTGATTTGCTCACCTACTGCATTCATTCAAAGTTTCCATGTGGAAGCTGCTTTTTGTCACTTGCTGAGCAGTTCAGTTACCAGCAGTGCTGATGTGCTGGCTGCTTGAGCAGGCAGAGTCCCAGTAGCTTTTGTGTTATTCATTGGAAACTCTTTCAGCAGACTTTTCTTTTACAGAAAGTTTTATTGGAAATCAAACTCTTAAAAACAGATAAAGCCATAACACAGCTGAATACCAACAAAATTAAAATATGTTGAAAACTTTCTGACAGTGTCCTTCCTCTCTGACACGGTCAGCTCCCTAATTTTGCTGCCACTGACAGAAAGGGAAGTTTTGCTCTAACGGCAGTGGGTATAAAGTTTGTCTAAACTGAATCCTTCTGTGAATCCTGCATTGATTTTTCAGAAAAAAATAACTTCTTAGGGTCCTCCAGGAGCTAGTGTGGGGCATATTTCCAAAGGCAAAGTTTGAATGTTTAGGTGTCTCTTCTAGACCTGGGCACAGACCAGTCATAACCTGCCTCTCTATTCCTGTGTCTTGCTGTGCTCCCTGGCTATGTGCCAGGTTATAAACTTAGTTGTAACAATTCTCAGCACCAGAGAAGTTTCTATCCGTTGATTTTTGTGCCATTTACTACTCTCTCCTCCCCCTCTCAACCTAGCTCTTAGTCCTTGTGATAACAGTTCTCTGCATTGGGCAGCTTTTGGTAGCTGGGACTCTGGCCAGCTTCAGCCTTTTGCCAACTCACAAGGACAAGGCAGGTTGGGAAAGCAAACAAACTGTAGTTAATGCCAGCAGGGCAGCTTCTTGTGTTGTGGGAAAACCAGGGCTTGACCTTGCCACTGGAGTATTAACTTTCTCATGGTGCATACTCTGGGCACCTTTATAGGAAATTTTCTTTCCAATGCTAGCAATAGGCTTTTCAAATGTGTGTCCTTTCATTGATCCCTTTCTACTTGTTGGAGATGGAGAAGCTGCTAGACTGTCCTGGACAGAAAACTCTAATTTTTTTCAACTTGTATTTTCCTAGGACTATTTTAGTTTTATTGAAAAACTATCTTGGTTCTACTAGGCTCATTTTTTGGGATATTTTTGGATTTTAAAGAAGTCTTGAGGCTTGTAAAAACATCATCTTGAAGCTCTGTGAGCATGTTCTGAGATGGCTCCTAGACAAGGTCCTTGATATGTGCTTGATGAGTGCTTTGATCTCTGAGCATCACCTTCTGTTTTCTCCATGTCATGTCTGTGCCCCACCTGCACTGTCATAAGAATATTTAACTGGTGAGGCTTATTGGCTGACACGCTGGTTGTACAGGACCCTTGGAGGTTCTCGTCTTGCATTGCTTATTGAAACTGCTACTCAGTAGAAGTGTGATTTCACTCTCCTCAGAGCTTGAATAAAACACTCATGATGATTTGTTCAATCATCCAGCGTAGGCATGAAACTTTGCTAGTTGTTCTCCTCAAGTTCTTTTTAGAGTTGTTGAATACAGACAAGTATGAAGTCAGGGGGGAGAGAGGTTGCATTGTCCTCTGGAAGCACCACTCTGTCCACTCAGTACAGCAGAAGCTCAGGGTGACTGGCTGGTTAGCTTAGCCTGATAAATAACATGATTGAAGTTGAGGGGCGTCAATACTTACCTCGTAAGTCAAACTGCAAAGACATCTCACTAAAGCAGACTTCTGTAAATATTTTGGAGTGAAACAATAAAGCTGCGCAGCCCTCTATTAAATCAATGTCAGATCTTACCATTTAGACTTAATATTGGACTGGAGTTAAATAGTCTCAGTTACTAACTCTCAATGCATGCAAAAAAAAATTAAATTGTTTTGTGTAAATTCTGCCTCCGTCTGTCTAGCTGAGTACCCTAACCAAGGAATTTGTCCTAAGACAACCTGATGTGTGTGTGTTTCTTAATATGTGCCTACTACCTGCTCTTCTTTGAGGGTTTTTATTCCTGGCAGTGGGGAGTTATATTTTGTGGCTTGTTACCACCAGCTCCCAAACCAGGCTCTGTACCAGATGAGTCTATTCACACATCAGGGGTAACTGCATAGATGTGTATTTACTTCTCCTTTTCTGCATTTTGCATACCAGTATACTAAATTAAGCTGAAATCAGCAGCAATTTACATTAGTAAACAGGCTGTAGGTTGTAGGGAGGCGTGAATATATGTGCTATTCAGCTGTCCTTGCTCCTTGAGGGGGAACCTCTAGCAGAAAGGCAGGAAAACGGATGTGGTTTCAGCCTTCCCTGGGGACAACTGTTAATATTGGTTCTCACACAGGGGATGCTCTGATGCAGATCTGGTCAGACTGCTGTTTATACTAACTATGCTATGCTTCCTGCATGGTAAGCAGAGGGAATTGCTTTATCTAAAAGTAGCATCATTTCTGCAAAGGCTGATTGCTTTAGTACAGCCCTCTGTGATTGTGCTGGACAGAGCAACTAGTGGTGCTAATAAGCATTTTCTTTCTCTTTGACTTTTGTAGGTATGAGCTGTTACGTAGCAGTTGCATGTGAAGAGAAGACGGAGTGGAAGTCATTGTCAGAGGATCCTGCCCTAAGCTGGGCCTGAAGAGTTCATCCAGCTGACTGGTGTGAGTACTCTGAAAGGAGGGGAAGGAGCATGTCACTGGGAGACCTTATCCTGACTTGAGACACCAAAATTGCATCTGTCTCTCATGACTTGCATGGGAGCAGTTTTCGTCCTAGTAGCAGCCTACCTGTGTTGTGCAGCAGAAAGCTGTATGGTGGTGAGAGTATCACTGTATTATAGATGTTTTTTTGCTATGTGAGCCAGTCAAAAGTTCCAGTTCTTGAAAGAGGATAAAGCTCTGAGTCCTATTTTTGTAGTGATTCATAGATGCATTAGATAAAACATATTAGTCCCAGCAAGGATTAAATTCACTTTTGCCACCATCGGATGTGTTCCTTGTTTACTATCTGTGTTTTTGACATCCTCCTTGTTTATTATCTGCATTTGTGACATCTTTTTTTATTGATATTGATGTTAGTGCCAGTAAATAATTTGTGCCTCATTCTAGATCAGAAACACATGAAGGTAGTGGGATTTTGGAGTTGGAGTAGTAAAGTCTTAGGATAAGGACGAAAGTTTAGCAGTTGGCCTTGCATAGGCTACAAATCCAGGTTTAGCACTGGTGCTTGCTTGCATGGCAATAGAGAGCTGTATTCATTGCCTCATCTGTAAGAGGCCATTAGGTTAGGTTTGAGTGGCTGTCAGCATGGGTGATGACTTGGTGTAGATTTAGAGCAGACAGGAGCTCTTGAACTGGGATTTAACTGTTTGGGGGGTGAATTATGGAGCTGATGATGATCAGACCCCCAGTGGGCTACTGGGCTAGGTTTAAGATAGCTACAAACAAGACAACTACAATTCTGGTGAAGCTGATTTGTTTTCTTTAGAGGAGATGGTGTGAGGTCTTTGGTATTGTTTGGTCTAAGATTACATCCTGGGATAAAAGAGACTTGACAGTTCTGAGATGAGGTTTGATTTTCTTACTTGCCTGAGGCAAAAGTGCCTCAGTCTTTGAGAACTCTGCATTGAAGCAGAAGTCTGAGACATGATCAAGGCTGAGGCTCACATGTCACGCTCTTGAGACCATTTTTCCCCCTTAGGATGACTGTTCTATAGAGCCTGTTTGTGATCAGGAAGGCAAAGGTCAAAGCAGCAGTTACCGAAGACTGAAACTCTGGCATCCTAGAACTGGCAAATAAAATTCTTATTGGCTACTCCTTTTTTACTAAAAGGCTGAAAGCATCAGTCTCTCCTGTCTCTCCCCTTCCCTTTTCTCTGTGTAGATCCTCTAGTGGTCTCAAGTTTCAGCTCCGTATGATAATCTCAAGTTCTTTCCCATATAACACTGTACCTGATGTTTGTCTCCAGAATCACATGCATACTCATATTGTGATTCTCAAGGGTTGCTTATGTCTTTCTCCTCTGGGGATATAGAGCCCTTTCAGTAGGGCTAACATCAGCCTCTTACATGCTGAACATGCAGCAGCTGTTGTCAGCCTGATGGCGCTGTCTTTTATGAACTTGTTCTCTCTGAGGAATGAAAGCTCAGGATGTTGAAGAGGAAGCTGGAGAAACTTTTGGGAGATATCAAGCCAAATTTTACATCATTCTACTGCTGCTTTATAAGCAAAATCACATGGACCCCACTATTGAACTAGCACAATTACTTGGTCTCTTCTAGAGATGGGCTGTTTTACACCAGGCCTGAATATGATCCTGTACTTTGGCTGTAAAAAGGAGGGAAGCTCTGTCCCTCAGTTTGTCTGCTTTAGGGGAAAGAGATTGTGATCCTTGGTTCTCCTCCACCCAGAGAGACGCAGTCAGGCATTGCTCTGGAAAAAGAGCATCTCCAAGAAGCCTTGATTCTCAGAGACATGCCTGGGAGTCACAGTGCTTGCGCTGTGGCTGACCTATGTCATCAGCTAAGTGATGACATCTGCATTTCTTTCTTTCCTTCTCTTTGATGCCTTCTGGCTGTCAAGCGACAAGGCATGGCACATCTGTTCTTCAGGGAGTGCACAGATTGAGTACCAGGGTCTGGATAGCCCATATAGGAGTTTGCAGGAGAATGATTTACTCTTCAGCCCCTATTCCAGGTTAGGTGAAGCCCTGAATGGTTCTTTTTACGTTGCCTTTTTATATGAGAGAAACTTATTTACTTTTCTTTGTCTGATTCTTTTCCTTTAGTTGGAGGCTCATGGGAATACAGAGAAGTAGTTGTATACTATGCTATTTCAGGGAGCCCCTGGTGGTCTAGTGGTTAAGGACGCAGCACTGTCACTGCCGAGGCCCGGGTTCGATTCCCGATCGGGGCCACTCCCCGGGCAGATGGAGCTCGTTAGCCCTGTAAGGCAATCCATCTACGTCCTGAGGACCTCGCTGCCACCGTCCAAGCTTGCTTGGCCCCGGCAGATGAGCCTCAGGATTAAAGGGTGGGCTCAGTTCCGCGCACACTGTGTCTCACCTAAAAAATCCAGTGCGCAGGCTGGAAGGTGTAAAGACCTTCCCTGGTTCTTCGTTCGCGAAGACTGGCCAAAAGAAAAGAAAGAAAGATTTTATATTTATGTTTTTTAAGATCAAATTAAGGTGTTGTGTTGGTTTTTAGTGTGACTTGTAATGCATGCTACAGATCAGTGACTCACTTTACACCTTTAGTCCAGGCATCTATCACTTGAAGACAAAACAGTTCCAGGCTTGTCAAGCTGGACCAAAGGCACAGAAAGGCAGGGAAGAAAATATCTACCCAGTGCACCAGGAAATTAAGTAAAGGGATGAAAACACAGTGGGTATATCTTGACTGTATCTTTTGCTGTCATAGGTGAGGAGTCAAAGCGTGGAAAATGCTACAGGAAGTCCAAAGCTCAGAAATTATTTCTCCCACAAAGGAGAAAAAGTGCCCCTAATGCAGACACAGAACTGTTGCAGAGGTTGCTAAAGAGTTGCTGTTATTCCTGATGGCCAGATTTCCCAGGGCCAGCTGCTCAGTAGCTGCTGCATTATTCAGTTCTGGAATGCATTTCTTCAGGTGAATGCTGAAGGTTATTCAGACAGGCTGCTATAAGGTGCAATAAGTCTTTCACAACTTTCCCTTGAGACAGAGCAGAACATCTTCTAGAGGAAGGTGTTGCCCACAATGTCATTTTGGCTCCAGCCAGTTTGTCACACCGGCTCCACGCTGGCTCTGCTCATCTTAGACTGTAAAGAGGTTTTAAGTGGTGCAGCACTGTGCCAAAAAAACAGAGCAGTAACAGTGAGAGTAAGTTTATAGAAAGCAGGAAAATGGAGTTTCCATTTTTTTCCATTGAACTTTCGGGAACAGATGGAGAGTCGATGAGGCAGAGATTCTGGAAGGGACAGTGTGTTTCAAACGTTTTCCTTAATGTCTTCCCAATCTGCTCATAGATTCATAGCTCCTTCTCTGTTTGGCACAAGGCAGTTAGTATAGGATGTGAAAATTTCAACGCCCCCAGGTCTTCAGAGGTGGATGTTTCCCAAGCCTTATTTAGCTGTGTTTTTTGGGCTAAGGAACTTGATGCAAAGGGTCGTGGGAGCAGCTCATGGCCTGATGGGCAATGTCTTTGTTTACTTCATTCCAGGTCACTAAAGTGAAGGATCTGGACAGAGACAATGACCCAGTAGCATCTTAACTGCACACTGTGCTGTTGCTAATAGGCTAGTCCTGCCTCTTCTAAATGGCCAGTGTGTTTTCTTTGGGTTTTTTTGTTGGTTGTTTTGTGTTTTGGTAGTTTGATTTGTTTTTTTAAAATCTGGTTAGAGGCCAAGAACAATCTAATCAGAGTCCAGCAGTGCACTGAGCAGCAGTCATTATCATTACTTAGTCATCCAGTTGCTGTTTCCTTGCTCTGACAAGAAATGTTGGTGTGGTGGGAGGGGATGGGGAAAGATAGCTTTTGTCTTCATCTCCTTGAAGAGATTCAAGCACTTTTCCTCTCAGTACACCTGTACCCAAGTATTGCCCTTAGAAGACAGATTTAAAGTCAGTAAGGCCTTCAAAACTCTTTGACAGCCACAGTTTGAGGGAGAGGAATCAACATGAAGGGGGAACTTAAACTCTCATTAACTCCTAAAGGAAATGACTTTCAGCTGTGAACTGTGAAATATGATTAGTCTCTCATTAGCTTTCATAATTATGAATGTAACTGGTTAATAATTCCGTCCAGCTGGCCAAGTTAGAAGCAAATCCAAATTTCTCCTCAGCCTGGTGTTTTGGGCTGGATTTCTGCTTATTAATGACACACCTAGCAAATACATTGGGCAGAACTGCTGGGACTTAGTTTCCATGAATGCCCAGGCTTGTCTGCTGGAAGGCATGCTGCCTCTTTGCTCTGTAGTTTTGTTTCTGGAGAACAGAAGCTGTGGATAGCCTGATTTGTGATATTCATTTGTTTTTAGCAATTAGGGTGTGGGAAAATACTGAGGTATGGAGAGAGATCACAGTCTGAATTTTCTTTGTTGCTGCTACAAGTTCCCTTCTATACTGCATTCTTACCTCTCCTTTTTTTACTCTGAACAATTTATCAAATCACTTGCACTGGAAAAGGGAGTAAGATCAGTTGCTGGCACAGAGATTATGCTAAATATCTGAGTATTTTGAGTCTTAAGAAAAATCAGAGAGCTTTACAAAAATCAGCTTCCTTGTGTGGCATACAGGAGATGATTTTTGTCCTGACTGTACGTTAAGGTTAATTTAAGCTCTACAGCACGAAAGTTAAGAGCACTGGTAAACAACTAGTGCCATTACAGAAGCTTTTAATATTGATTGGGGTGTATTCTGTTAACTGCACAGCCAGCAATGCCTTTCATTGACTGAGGTGCTGCTTGGATCAGTAAGTATTGCTCTGGCCTAAACTAAACTTGCTGTGTGTGAACTGCCATTGATGGCTTTTTGTAGTAGAGGGACAGAGTCTGGGTTCTCCTGCCACATGCAATCCAGTGATCATTGAGTATAATCCTTGTGTCCCACACCTCAGTTTGGTACATATGCCACAGATTTCAGCATACAAGTTTTGCTTCCATTTTGCCCGAGTGTAAATGGCAATA